ACCAGCATTATGGCTCTTTACGCTCCTATTGATTTTAACTTATTATTAAAGCTTATTAATTATTAATACTTTTTTTCAGGATTAATATTTTCAACTTTCCAATTAAATAATCATACCACTCACAGAAATAATATTGTTATTATTTACGCAATGGTTTGCTGCCATCAACATTTTAATGTAACAAAGGCTGCGTTCCGAAATTCTGCCAGTACTGAAAATCTACAATATACGTAACGTAAACTATAGATTAAGTGGCAGTGGATTTCGGACGTAGCCAAGACAAGATTAAATTTTTGCCAACTGCACGCACCGTGATGTAATTTTTATTATTTTGATTTTTTTTTTTTTTTACGTAATGTGATTTAATAAAATTTGTATCGCAAATAAGGAATCAATTTCAAAATTAAAATTACCATGAAATAATCTTAAACTCTTGTCCCCAAAAATCTCTATGGTTCGGTTATGACAATATTATAAGCAATGTCACGTAGGCGCTTAGATAACAAACGCTTTGTACACACGGGAAGTATTAAACTTACGCCATTGTATCGTATCGTGTGTAGTGACGAGTCAGATGCAATGCACGCATGCATACGCGCTCATGGATGAACACATACGCTATTTCGCCTGCTATGCTCGTGCTACAGCCAATCCGCTCCTAGGTCAATATCCTGGGATCATCACGCACGAAACACAGACACGTGTGTATTTACACACGGCAGCAATGCGTAGAATCAGTATCCCACTTTCCTACGCAGTCCCACATGATTCTGCCGTACGTACACAGGCGCGATATACATTCGTGTGCGTACAAAGAAACAGGGTAAGGTCGTAGTCGATGAGAGAAGGGAGAAGTGCGCTTGAGCGAGTGTACGTTCACGAAAATTGCTACCACGCCCAATTTTCTACGTGCATCGCAGGCCATTGCCTTCTGCGTGCATGATTGCGTGCGAGTGTGTAATTTTGGTTCATAGACCTCACTAAAACGCTCGCATCCCACCCTGCGCACACGAGCAAAACCCTATACCGAATTAGGTAACCTTACCATGCGGGGGATGACGCTTTTAACACTCGAGTATCGTGAGAAAATCGCACAGCAAGAAGGAAACACTGCGGAAATGAGAGAGACAGACGAGCCAAGCTGGTCATAATTACTGGCACCGTTAATTCTGAAATACTAAAAATAAGCAAAATGCACACACACGCATACACAGAACATGTCATCAAATGCATTAAATTAAACAGCAATACAATTCTGAATATTATCAAATATTTTCTCAAATGTCACACGTGCTAATTGCAGCGCTGATTGTAATAAAAATTAAATTATTATGTAAAAAGAATGATAAAACTTAAAAAAAACTTTACTGTTTATAATGCATTTAAATACTACACGGCAAATAATAATGGGTCGAACGCATAAAATATTTTGCGATTGTTATCAGCCATGAAATATTCAGCTGATGTTTTTTTTATAGCTGTCATAAATAAAAATCTGAGATATTTTACCGATAATAGTAATGTGTTTTTTCTCCTAAATTCTTTTTATACGCCGCATCTTCAATTCTATTTACCGTCACATGCGTGCAACTGCGCACACTCGAGAATAGCCGAAAATATGCAGCTTAGTTTCCCTTATCTCGTGAGCGTGTTTAAACGCAAAGGAAAGAGCCCGCGATAAAGTGAACGTTCGTCGAAGAAAAATCGCTTCTACAACCACAAGAGTGCAAGCATGAGGGCGTATGTATGTGTGTGCACACGTGCGTTTCTCTAATGTGCGTCGACTCTGATGACGATTTTGTGCGCCGGGAAGGGAAACGAGAAGGGGAATGCTGTTGGTAAGGTGAATCTTTGTTCTGTTACACCATCGAAAAAAGATGTGCCTATATTCTGAAAAGTATAGAGCGGAGAGCAGATGTATACGGGCTATCCCAGCCAGTACATAAGCAAGGCGGGTATGATCACCGCAGGGTGCATTTTTCACGTCTCAAACCGTGACACATCCCACGATCGCGATATGATATTTATAGTTACATTTTTCTTCTATGAATAGATTATACATTTTTCAAAAGCTACCTTCTATAACGCGATTCGCGATCTTAATCTCAATAATATTCTTTCTAATATACATAGTCGACTTTTCTCCTCGGCAAATGTTAAAAAAAAAAATCATGATTTATTTATATATTTTCGAGATTTCAAATTTTATGCTATAATAAATTTTACATCGAAGTTCTACTAAAATCTTGTTTTGCTTCGGTCTTGAAAAGTTTTGTTTTTGCAAAACCGCTTCTATTTTAAACGTTTATAACAACGCTCGGAATTAGTTGCACATTTCGAGCCGATTCAGGAGACGTCGTCTCCTGAATCGGCTCGAAATGTGCAACTATTTCCGAGCGCTGGTTTATAATATAAGAATTCAAATAACATTCAAAGCTTGGATATCGCCAGACTGATTCGAAATTTATCAGAAAATTTGCCGTAAAAATTACAATTATCGCGAATTGTAAGAAACTTTTCGTATATATTTTTAATGCGTTTAATCGTAAGGAATAAGATTTCTTTCTTAAAAAAAAGATATAATTCTAATTTGCTTTCTCAATATATATTAGTCAGAAAGTTTCGGGTACTCATTATACACTTTCCTGCAATCTTTTTTTAGAAAAAAAATAAAATATTTCGACAGTTTTCCATTGCCTCATTGTAAGTATTTAATGCCCCGTTACTTTTCTCTTTTAGAGTTAAAAAGCAATGTCTTATTTATGGTAAGGTAAAGTATCTTTACATACGGTACTTGTATTTTATTCGTTTGTCCTTAAAGATGCCTTGCGAAAAACTTATAGAACATTCTTTCTACCTGAACAAGCTAGAAAAAACTTTTACTTTGGCGAACTAACAATCAGCGACGCATTTCGAGACGCATCGTTGAGTGATAAGATGGTGGAAGCACTATCGCAACTAGGAATGAGAAATGCGTCGATTGTTTGCTTATCGAGCCTGTCCGAAAACGATAGTGTTTACGATAACACATATATGTCGATAACATAGCGAACATTTGTATGTATAAAATGCGTTTAGTGCATCTGCGCTCACAATGTGTCTTGCGTTTAATATAAGAATATATAAAAAATTGAATCATGAAATCTATGGAATCTCAAAAAAAATATTTGCGTCGGACAATAAGTCAAAATCTGTATGCGTTAAAAAATTGTGAAAAATTTCCAACATACAAAACTTATTATATATAAAATTTATAAAAGAGAAAAAATATATAATCATAAAAGTAAGATCGTGAATATTGTCATATCGTCATATCGTCGGTTTAGTGTAAGAAACTATTAACATAATTTATACAATGACTACCACGATTTTATCTTGTAATTATTATAAAACACACAGTTTCTTGAAAATAATAAAGACAATACAAATTTTAATATTATATTCTGTTGTGTCATATCACATAACTTCTTTTTACAATTTCTTTCACAACTTTAATTTTTTTAAATCCCGTTCTCTTTTTATACTCACTTTTGCACTAAACCGACAATAATATTAATAACTTCTAGATAGAAAATATAGAACATACCTTTCAATCAAATGTTGCGTAGATTTCACTCAGGAACTTTATAAGGCGACGTCTCGAACTTGGCAGTGCAAGTAGAACTGACAACAATAAGCACCACAAGAAGAATATCAGTACATAACTGACCACTTCGGTTTATGTAGTTTATCGCCAATGAGGCATAAACAAACATCGAATATTTTGTGGAATTCGGAAAGCTGACTTTTCTCCTGCCAACATTTGGTTTGGCCCGATCCGACCAATAATGACAAGCAAAGTTATCGCAAGCAATATCGGTTATCTTCCTAGATTAAATTTAGAAGAGAAAAATTTTGAATTAGTGAAACTAATATTCTTTCTCGTCTGTAAATAAAAAATATAAACGATGATAAATCTCAAGATTCTTCATTTAATTAAACTAATACAAAAATTTAAAAATTACATTGCTTAACAAATTTAATGTTCAGTAAAAAAAATTTCTTAACTGCCTTTTAAAAAATTGCTTCGGTGATTTTAAGATCACTTATACATCACGCACTAATATAAAAATTTATTCATTCTTTTAAAATCCCGAAATTTTTTTCCAAAATTATATAATTGCTTAACATATACTCAGATCGTACTTGGTAAAATAATTTGTGCATATATGATTTACATGACACTTGATATATTAATATGTAAGCACTAGCATAGAAAATTATTATGTTTTCACGATTTGCTAGACGGAATCTTTCTTGAACATGCTTTTGATTCGAGACCGAATTCTTAATTCGACACAAAAGTCAGCAACCTCGATCAAAATGGGAAGGGGACGAGAAATTTTTTTCTCCCTCCTAAAAAGAGGACTTCCCCCTTCGTTATGTACTACATCGGCGGGAAAGGTGGAAACTCTATAAGGGAAACAGGTTCCTCGTAAGCTTTAAAATGCTGTATCGTTCAGTTGACGTTTAGATTTCTCACTCTTCCCTTCTATCTTTCTCTTTCTACTTTCTCCTTTTTTTTATAGGTGAGCCGTACGAAGAGACGCGCGATGTTCCCGACTTCTCTACATGCTCAATGTTTATCACGTGTGCGTTTACGTGCGTGCACGTACACGTAAACACTATATAGTCTCTGTACAATCAGACGTATTAATGGCATATTCAAGATAAAGCATTTCAATAATATTAATGTAAGTTGATAAATCAAAACGAGAAAATTTTTGGCTTTTTCGCAATTGCAAGTACAATTTCAATGCAATCATAATCTTCAATGTATAATTCGAGAAATATTTCACGACGTGCAATTTGTTTTGCGTTTTGCAAAACAATTCGCAAAAAGATTAATCCATACAATTAATTATGTAAACGAGAAGTGCGCTTCTTTTGGTTTATATTAAGATTTATATCACTGCATGCAAATATGCCGTGCATCATTAATGCGATCAACCGACCCAACCGTTCTATTTATAGGCGTAACAGTACGACCTCGCCCTTTGCGTCGCGTTACAAGGTCATTGACCTCTGATCAATGATCAGCTACCTGCTGATACATTGTTATCGACACAATAAGTATAAGAAGTATCTTCCTTCTGGTGACCGAGCATCGAAAAATGCATATAGCACCTCCTCAACCGAATCAAGTGCAATTATTCCTTATAGCTGAAAGAGCGTTAAGCCCTCTTTTTATTCTTTTTTTCCTTACCCTTCCGAATTCGTTCTACTTTTCAGCGCTTTTCAATACTGACCATGATCACTGACCGTAATACCTATTACTGACTTGTGAGTAACAGGTGTTATATACATATATATAGGTCGTGAAATGAAGAACCAATAAAATTCAGTTGAAATATAGGTCACGTAATATAATTTGCTTCGGAGAAGGATTTCGAACAATCAATCCTACATTTTACAGTAATATCGTGCTATATAACAATGATAATTATTATAATAAATATAATATAATTATACAAATTATTAGTTAAAATAAACTACTAGAGCCTGAGCTGGTTTAATGTACTCTATTGTTTTCAATTCTTTATTACTATTACTTTATTAACATTACTTTATTAACATATGTTTCGGCCCTTAGAATTTGGCCATCTTCAATGTACAATTTAATCTAAACGCATCATTAATTCTAAACGCAACTCCATGTTTTTTTAAATTTATGTTTGTTAATTGTGTTAATTGTATTGAAATTGAACAATTTTCACTATCGTCATAATGAATGTTTTAAAGAAATTGACATTAATTAAAAACAAGAATTTTACTCAATCTAAATCAGATTGTGAAATTAATAGCATTGAAGTATATACGTTATAGTTTCATTCTTCTTTTTTAATTTATTATTAACAATTAGTACCTTTGACTATGGGCCACTTTTTCCAACGTCTGTTAACTCTACCAATGATTAGATGATTAGAATAGCCACATGAATAATTAAATATTGCAATTGAAGGAAAAAATTTCTCATAAATATTATATATAATATAATAATATAGTGTTAGTATATATTGCAAAATCTTTTTTTACAGTCAATTTCTATACATTTTTGATCAATATACTAAGATTTTAGGATTGACAACATATACAAATTTCGAGTTTTTTAAGTTGGCTATTCTGAAAATACTAACTAAACTCGGTTAACAGATGTTGGAAAAAGTGGCCCTATGTAAAGCCAGCAGCACACGGCACGATTTTGCTTACTGGATTGATTGCGAGCTAATAAATTAAGCCAGCGGCACACGGTACTTTTTTGCTTACTGGATCGATTGCGAGCTAGTAAATTACTAAAAATACTGTATGCTGTATGGTGCATTTCTAGTATTTTACTAGCTCGCTCATTTCATTTTCAATGTGACAGCTGTGTAAATATCAATATTTTTGTCAAGAGAATTATGAAACTGGAAAGAAAATTTAATAAACACGTTACATAAGATGATATTGAAAGAACTCTTAAATTTTAATTAAAGCTTTTATTATAATGTTTTAAGAATATAATTATATATATTTTAAATGATAAATATTTTATTTTATTTTTATTTTGTGGCGTTCAAGAGCCAGGAGCCCGGTAGGAAATATCGCATCCTTGGTCTTGATTAAAAGGGCCATTCACCTTTTAACGGATTCGTCTTTTCTGATGGAAAATCGCTCTAGACCTTCCTACCACTTATAATTTGGTTTAGATGCGTTAGAAACAGCACAAGTAACAGCTGTATCAAGCATATGTGCTTCAACGCGAGCTTACAAGGAGCGTTAATTTACAATTTCAGAATATAATTACAAAAAGTTAATTATTAAGTTATTATGTCACACACACAATACATTATTTAAATAATATTTTAATCAATATTGTAGAGTTCTATGTTCAATACAAATGTAACCATGTATTTGCCAACTATTAACAAAAAGATAAAAAGATAAAAGGATTCTAAGAATATTATCATTTTTGAAAGCTTAATCATTTGTAGCACTCAAGAAAAATAAAGAAAGATAGATAATGTATCGCTTTCATGAAAGAGAGCGAGATATCATAATGACAAATTGTAACTTCTTCAAATCATTTTTTCAGCTAAATAATTATAAATACGTTAGGTTTATTTATCAGAAATTTAATGTTAAAATAGAGTTTCTTACATTGTTAATTGTGGTTAGCATCATCAAATAGCGTCGGACTAAGACGAGTTTCTTTCTCCAACCGCATAATTTTGGGCCAGCGAGTTTTTTTTGTGACTTTGAAAATCGGTGGAGTACCGTGCGAGTTGTGCGCTCGCCCCGGCAACGCAGCTCGTCGACCGGGTTGCAATAAAAAATAAGCGAGTATCCTACACATAGGGCGTGGGTTTATCTGCATTAGACGAGTGTCGACGCGCAAACCGGTTGCGCGTCGGTTGGTTCGGAATGTGCCATCATGACATGGCGCGGTTGCCACATGTGTGTGTATGCGTGGTTCTTTTCAAATCTATTCGCTTACAACTGCACACTACTGCCTGCTGCTTCTTTACTTCGCCGATAATTTGGATTTTCGGGCTCCGAAAAAATTAACTATACAATGCGTAATCTCTCATATCATTTCATAGATAATTATTATAGATAATTATAGATAACATTACAGATAATTATCTGTGTTTGAAGATACAGACTGATAATTATAGATAATATTACAGATGATTAACTGTGTTCAAAGATACAGACTATCTATCTATTTGAGTTCTTTGTCTTTTTCTTATTGACTGCAAAACTATATAAATAATTATTCATCATGACTATTGCTTAAAAAAATTAAGATTCAGAATTTAAAATATCAATATGCGATATCAAAGCAAAATAAAACACGTTTTACCGTATCTAATAAAGCAACATAAAATGAAAGAGAAATTTCAGATTAATACAGATTGATAAATTAATGTAATCTTTTCGAACTCGTCATCTTTGTTACCCTGGAATATAGATAGTATTTGCAGAAGGTATTTTGATTATTCTGGCAATTCCAAACATGTTTTCAATACTTGATCTATCTAGTAACAATTCTGCTATAAAATTTTAGGAATTCTTCGCAAACTCATTCTATTTCAAAATTGCTGCCCAAATTTTTACCCCTTGTCAAACATCTTATAATAGCAATAGTGAAATAACGGTTGGTTTCAGGTATACATTTTTTGCATTTTTCTCAAGCACTTTTCATTTCAGAATAATATCAGGTACTATTCTGAAAGTTTACATGCTAAAAAGATCAATGAAAGACCGAGTTCTAGGACTCGGATTGGTCTTAACATCTGCCACAAAATTCATTCTTATAGTATTGCAAATTTATTAATTTTTCACAGTGGAATAGTATTCATTATATATATTAATTTATAAACATTTAATTAAAGCATTTAATCCTATCTTTAAATATTTTTGAGACAAATTAGAAATACTTATTTTTTATCGATGAAACATTCAAAACTTAATTTTGGCAGTAGAAAAAGAATTGATTGTTACAAGCTTACATGTAGAAATTGATATAAAAACAAACGCAATCTTTTACGTATAACTTGTCTACAATAATTAGTTTCATATATTTGTGTAAATAAAATAATTAACAAATTGTTAAATAGAATCCAAATTTGAGTTGTTAAAAAAATAATATAAAATCCTCGCCTACCAAAAGCAAAAATATAGTAATTTAGGAAAGCAGGAGGCTGAAAATAGACAAAAATGTGATACTTTAATAGGGACAGATTTTAACAAAGGGGTGCAAGTGAAAACCTAACCATTGACCAACAGATCAAAAGCATAGCAGAACCTCAGCAGGCTGAGATATAAAGAGCAATGAAAAATGTCTTTCTGCAAAATTCTTTTCTTAGAAAACAGAGCGAAACAAAAGTAACCTTAGGATATAAGGTCCGGGTATAGGGTTCAATTGCCTTAATGCGAAAAAAAGGTTTTTGGCATCTATTTTCGTTTGTAGAGTATCCTGATATTATATCCTTCTGATCTACCATAAAAAAAAGCATTTTTCTATTATGATTCCATAGAATATGTTTAATACACAAAATACTTGAAAAATTCATTATTAACTGTTAATGCAGATATATTTGCCTTCAAATATTTTACATAATAAGATCAAAATTTTTAATTTTATTCAAAGTATTGCTTTGCTTAAGTGCTCTTTTCCAATCAAAAGTAAAAAATTTGCAACTGAGATAATTTACAACAAAAAAACTTTGATTAAATCTCCTTCAAAATTTTGCTTTTATATATAGATATTTTATTCTTAATCAGCATATTAAACAAAGGCCTCTATTAGGTCTAATGAGATAATCTCTGGAGCAAAAATATATAATGCAATTGCCATTTTTAAATAAATTTTGTTTAAATTTAATATAGTAAAACAAAGTACCGTATACCTGACTGAACAGAGCTTCAGAGAATATCCAGGACCATCCATGGCTTAAAATTATTTCTATACCGTCTTTTTATGCCTACCTACACTTTTCCCTTGGCTTCTTAGAATGAATGGTATGTTTTCAACGATCTATCTAGGAATGTATAGTCAAGTGCATTAATATTGTCCAATATGCATTTACATTTAACAACCAAATTTCTCTGTAGTACTTAAGAATCATGAAGAATCTCATTTGCATGATTAATTGCACAGTTTAACCTGCAAAGAAAACAAAAATTGATAAATCATGTATTGTAAGATATTATTGTAAATGCGAACACATTAAACTTTATCAACGCATCTAATTATATACAAAATCTTCAATTTCAATACATTTCAAACTTACCCAAGTTATAATCCTGCAGCCAATTCCAATTCATAATCGTGGCACACGTGATACATCAACGGCCAAAAAAAGTTTGTTTTCTCATTGCATCTATAATTATATATATATTTCATTAGAAATCATGTAAATAATGACATAAATAAGTAATAATAACATAAATAAATAAAAGTAAATACTTTCGATAAAATAAGTTTTTTTGTTGTGTTACATGTATAGTCCAATCAGTTTGTTCTATTTCTCTAGTGAAAATAGACCTAAAACAATTTATAAAAACTTATCTAGATAGCACAGCATATACAAAAGATGTCCAGAGGATTTATCGAAGATGCTTTTGGGACAACAGAACATCCTTTGAATGTATTTTCGACATGTGTGCTGTGTGGATTATTACGAGCCAAAAAATCAATCTTTGATATAAGTTACCAATCTATACTATCGAATATTTGGCGAAAGTTTGTTTCAACACAGTACTCGCACGATCTGCATATTTTGGTCAATATCAGTCCATTTTCAAACTAATGTCTACCTGCACCATTGAGCTCTGTAAAATATACTAGGCATCGATCATGTAATTTTTCTCTAAGAGCGAAAACGTGAATAATGAAAACTTTTATATGAATTCGACAATTTTATTGATTGAATTCACGTGAAATTTTCACTTTTCACGTTTCCGCTCCTAAAGAAAAATTACATGATCGATGCCCTGGAAAGATCTTTCGCATAAAGCCCTTATCAGACCCATTGAAAATTGAAGATTAAAGATTAAAATTTGACCAATCAAAACAAAAGGAGTTAAATTTCTTTATCCTGATTTATCAAATTTCAATCTTCAATTTTTAATCTCAATATTCAATGCGTAGTCCGATACGGTCATAAGAGCCAATATGTAGTTTCGGGCAAAGAAGAGCAGCAATAGTAGTCGGTACTCCTTCCACATTTACACCGTGCCTTTAACATTTATACCGTGCCTTCCACATTTATACCGTGTATAGTAGAAATAAAACAATGATATATAATAAAATCATTCCTATTCTTTCAAAGCTCTTTCCAGAATGTCATATAGCTCAATGATTTAAGCCAGCGGCACACGGTACGTTTTTGCTTACAGGATTGATTTGGATACAGGATTAAACTAGTAAGTTACTATAAATACTGTATGCTGTATGGTGCATTTCTAGTATTTTACTAGCTCGCAATCAATCCAGTAATGGCTTATGCTTTATGCTTCGGTCTTAATCTTAATCTTAAGAGTTGATAACGTTAGAATGCCATAAGGGCGTTTATACTTCCCTAGTCTTAATCTTAGTCTTAAGCCAAGAGCACAAGCTTTTACATAAAGCATAACGCATAAGCATAAGGAAATTGATTGGTCTATATATAAGCATAAGCAAATGCATAAGGAAATGGACCAATCATTTTCCTTATGCTTATGCGTTATGCTTTATGCAAAAGTCTGTGCTCCGGCCAATACGGTAGTGTCTCGCGCTAAATTCATGTGCAACGCGCAACGCAGCGCAAGATCGACTGTGTCTCTTTACGCGAGCCCGAGAACTGAGACGAGCCGAGATTATCGGATCTCAGTAACGCCTAAGCCAATTGATTTAAAAATAGGCTCAATCGATTGTGCATGTCCAAATTATATAATAAAAGTATGTTTGTTTTTACTCTACGTGCTTTGTAAAGATAGATATAAAAATCTAAAGTTCAAGATATTGAAAAACTATTTCAATCAACGTCTCTGTCGTCTGGGATGTTCCATTTTCGCTTTTTATACGCTAGGGGCGCTTACGGCGTTGAGAAGTGTTAGCCGTTACGAATGTGTGAAAAAGTGTTAGTTAGCTTATTACGAATTTACTAACCTTCTTACTTATAGGGCCACTTTTTCCAACGTCGGTTAACTTTAACCGACTGGTAACTTTTCAGAATAGCCAACTGAAAACTCGAAACTTGTATATGTATATGTATATACAAGTTTC